ACCGCCAGCAAACGACTCCCGGTCCCTACCACCGCTCGCATCACATCCCCCATTGTTGTTCCCAGCACCACTGTCCTCACCACCACTGTCCCCACTGGTTCCACCACCGTCCCTATTGTCCCCACCAGTGCCCCCACCACTATCGCACTGTCCCCACTGTTCCCACCACTGTTCCCACCACGGTTCCACTCTCCCCACTGTCTCCACGGACCCAACCACTGCCTATCCCCACTGTCCCCACTGTCCCACTGACTCCTCCGCTGTCCCACTGAGCTGTCCCACTGTTTCAACCACTGTCCCCACTGTCCCCACCACTGTCCCCACTGTACCTCTGTCCCATTGTCCCACCGCCGTCCTCGCCACCGCCTTTACCAGTGTCCCCACCACCATTGTACCCTCCACTGTCCCAGTGTTTCCACCTCATTCCCACTGTCCCCACACCACTGTCCCCACCACCACCGTTCCCACCACTGTCCACTGTCCCCCCTGGTCCCACCATTGTCCCCACCACTGTCCCCACCACTACCGTCCCCACCACTGTCCCACTGTCCCCCCACTGTCCCCACCACTGTCCCGCTGTCCCCTCACCACTGTCCCCACCAACACCGTCCCCACCACTGTCCGCACCCCCACTCGGTTTTCGACCCCCCCCGGTTTTCCGCCAGCAGCGGTAGAACACGCTCTTTCACATATATATATATATATATATATACACATAAGTTGTTGTGCCTTCTGTTTTTCGAATAAAAAAAGACAGTTTAATAGTTTACACCAAAAAAACGTTTCACGCCAGGTGCGGTACTGCTGAGCCGTACCAAGGCACAGGACACCCCGCATGAAGCCAGACTGACACCAGGGCTCAGTCTCCAGGATCTCAAGCCGAAGAGGATTGTCACGAAGGATGCGGGTCCAGGACCCCTGGGGATATCGCCAGGACCTTCTCTTCATCCCGAGTCGGTCTTTGATGAGCCCTTGGAGGGCCCCGGAAGGTCGAACAAGGCCCAAACGCCTCCTTGCCACTTCTCCTCCATGACTGAGGAGGAACGCTGAGGGGGCATCGGCCAAGGGGTGGAGCATCGAACTGACATCGGCGATACGTCGCCGATGGATCAGCGGTAGGCCGCCGACAGCGAATCCGCACACTCCGGAGCGGGGGGGGGGGCTGTCGGGCCCACAACGGCGATGAGTGGGCGATTGCGGGCCGCTGCCTTCCTGCCCGAGCCTGCAGTAGGGGCCCGGCCACAAAAAACCTTCCACGAGAAACCCGACCCCGAGACCCCGGGTCGCCCATGGATTTTTGGTGTGGGAGCGTCACGTGTTCCAGTGCGAAGCCATCGAGACCCCGCAAAACATCGGGGCACCCTGGAGGCGAGCAGGGTGTGTCTTGGCATGGGCCCCCACTGTACCCCCTAAGGGGTTCTCGGGTCCCAACTCGGGCCTCGGGAGGCCGCTGGAGGCGATCCAGGCACCCCCGGAATGCTCTCGCTCGGAAAAGGGGCCGCCGCTGGAAGGCATCCCGAGGCGGAAGGCCGACGAGAACCGACGAGCAGATCCCTGACGTAGACCCTGAGCAGATCCCCCCCTGACTAGAGTTAGGTCGGGCACGTCCCCCTACAGGCGGATTTTGGATAAAAAAATGCCCTCGCGACGTACCCACCCCCTGCACAATGCGGGGCAGGAGTAGCTTGACGAGAAGGCGGCGACGTGGCATGGACGCATATACTTCTGCGAGCGGCACTTGGAAGGTTCGCAGGACTGACGTAGACCCTGAGCAGATCCCCCCCTGACTAGAGTTAGGTCGGGCACGTCCCCCTACAGGCGGATTTTGGATAAAAAAATGCCCTCGCGACGTACCCACCCCCTGCACAATGCGGGGCAGGAGTAGCTTGACGAGAAGGCGGCGACGTGGCATGGACGCATATACTTCTGCGAGCGGCACTTGGAAGGTTCGCAGGACCCCGATCAAGGGGAACACGATGAGTAACTAAGTGAACCCCTGAGTCACTCAGGAAGACGCAAGGTCCAAAAGGAGACGGTGGACAAGAGGCTTGAAACGTCGGCGGGGCAGCAACAACATGACATGGCCCCCCAAGGACGGCGAGGCCCCGCTCAGGTATGCGCAGTGCCTCACCCCGCTGGACCCACCAGCAGCACTCGAAAGTGGCGAGCCCACCAGCAGCCCTCGAAAGTGGCGACAGTTTCGCAGATCGCAGCCCCCCAAGGACGGGGAGGTCCCGCTCAGGCCCTCGCGGTGCCCCACTCCGCTGGACCCACCAGCAGCACTCAAAAATGGCGACAATGTCGCAGATCGCAGCCCCCCAGGGACGGGAAGGTCCCGCTCAGGTCCGCGCGGTGCCTCACTCCGTTGGACCCACCAGCAGCCCTCGAAAGTGGCGACAATTTCGTAGACCGCAGCCCCCCAGTGACAGGGAGCTCCCGCTCAGGTCCGCGCGGTGCCTCACTCCGCTGGACCCACCAGCAACCTTCGAAAGTGGCGACAGTTTCGTAGATCGCAGCCCCCAGGGACGGGGAGCTCCCGCTCCTGTCACGCGGGAAAGATCCGCTCACCGCCGCAGCCCCAGCACCCCTCGAAAGTGGGCACTCAGATCGCAGCTTTCCCGGACTCCACCAGCAACGACAGTTTCGCAGATCGCAGCCCCCCAGTGACGGGGAGCTCCCGCTCAAGTCCACGCGGTGCCTCCTCCGCTGGACCCACCAGCAACCTTCGAAAGTGGCGACAATGTCGCAGATCGAAGCCCCCCAGGGACGGGGAGGTCCCGCTCAGGTCCGCGCGGTGCCCCACTCCGCTGGACCCACCAGCAGCCCTCGAAAGTGGCGACAATTTCGCAGATCGCAGCCCCCCAGGGACGGGGAGTTCCCGCTCAGGTCCGCGCGGTGCCTCACCCCGCTGGACCAACCAGCAGCCCTCGAAAGTGGCGACAGTTTCGCAGATCGCAGCCCCCCAGTGACGGGGAGCTCCCGCTCAAGTCCACGCGGTGCCTCCTCCGCTGGACCCACCAGCAACCTTCGAAAGTGGCGACAATGTCGCAGATCGAAGCCCCCCAGGGACGGGGAGGTCCCGCTCAGGTCCGCGCGGTGCCCCACTCCGCTGGACCCACCAGCAGCCCTCGAAAGTGGCGACAGTTTCGCAGATCGCAGCCCCCCATGCAAGGCAAGAGGAGGGGGGGGCAAGAGGCGGGAGGCAGGAGGCGGGAGGAGGCGGGAGAAAGAGACGCGACCGCGGTGGTCTATTCCAAACGAATGTCCAACCAAGGAGTGTTGGCAAGAATCGGCATATCATCAACATTAGTCAAACATACTCAAACAATTCCCCCCCGGAGTATTGCTTGACTATTTGGGAAGATTCCCCCTGTAGAGGAACAGGCCCGATTTAAACCTACCCCCCATGAGCAGATCCCACCTAACGTAGCCTAACGTAGCCCCTGAGCAGATCCCCCCGAACTAGAGGAACAAGAAACGGCATACATGCAACATAAGCTTTTGACGATCCGCGCAGATTTCTTGGATCTGAGCTGGGCGGCACCCCTGGCGCCGCCAGGGGGGGGCCCAGCTCAGAGCCAAGAAACCCGCGCAGAGCGTAACAAGTCTCTGTTCATGCCGTTGTCTCTTCCCTGAATTCCCCCAGAGGGCAGCCCCAGACTCCCCGA